CCGCTCGGAATGGTCGCCGGTCCATTCTGGGTTCTAGTGGCCCTAGTCTGCCCACTAGAGTGTGCACATGGTGTCCGGCTTTGCCAGCAGATGAGGTAACGGTCAGGGTCATGGTTGTGTGACGATTTCAGGGTCACGGTTGCGTGACGATTTCAGATTCATGTTATTACCGGCTTGAGGTTGAGGTTATGTATATACTGATATCATGATGTTGTTATTATTTTCAATGTTTACATTAGTATGAGTTTCCACGGAGCACAGTGCCATAGTGCTCATTTTCCACTTTTATCATGTTTTTTTCAGGTCAGGATGTCGGGCCAGGAGCGTGACGTGACGGAGGCTTCAGGACATTTGTGTTTTTGACTGTATATTTTTTATGATGACTTACGCTTCCGCTAACGATGTTTTGATGACTTTTGACGTACTCATATTGTAACGCCCCGTTTAATTATGGTTATTTTGAGATTATTTATTTATTTATTTATTTATTATTATTATTATTATTATTATTATTATTGTTATTATTATTACTACTATTATTATTATTATATTAGTATTAATATTTATATTAATTGTCTAAATGCCTAAATGTGTCTAAATGTTGTTTATAATAAATATTTATATCTATATATTAAAGAAATATTACCCGGTTGTTATTTTATTTTATCGCGCGAGTAAATCGAGTTCGAGAGCCGAATCATTATCTCGAATTCTATTTTCTTCGCAAACCGTATCGAGCCCGAGAAGACCCTTAATCCCAGCCCAATTAGCTTACAATTTTGGCCCAATAATTAGTCCTTAATTTTTCTTTTAAGTTAATTAAACCCTACATGTTAAAAGGGAGAGATTTCCCCTCATCTCTATCAATCGCGCAGCCCTATTTCTCTCCTCTCTCGTCAATACCGCGACATCGAAAAAGCTGAGGAGAGAATTCTTCTCTTTCGCCATCATCGAAATCCACCATCAAGCCTTCATCGTTCCCCCACCATCATCTCACGCCTCAGTCGCCGTCATCCTTCAGGCATCAATACCGCCGAGTTCCTTCACCATCATCGCCCCTGTTCGCGTGAATCCACGCTGTCGTGAACAAGTTCTGATTGTTGTTCCGTCGCGAAACCTTTCCCGGCGATCCTCTGCCCGCAAACAGAAGTCCTGCCACGCACAGCGAGTTTTCCCCGTCGATCACGCGCAGCGACCT